CCCTCTCCCTCTCCCTCTCTCTCTCTCTCTCTCTCTCTCTCTCTCTCTCCCTCCCTCTCTCTCTCACTCTCTCTCTCTCTCATTCTCCCTTTCCTCCTCTCTCTCTCTCTGCCTTCAACTTTCAGATAAAGATGCTCCAGTGCCATGCCTGCCAGTCTGCTGCAAATGATGGTCATGAAGTCCCCATCTGAAACTGAAGGCCGTAATAAATTCCTTCTTATGTAAGATGACTTGGTCATGATGTGTCTTCACAGCAATACAAAAGAAACTAAGACAGAGTCTCATTACCAGCTTTCACCTCTACTACTACAGCAGTATCCTAACTTGCCCCTCAACACCTAATGCTTGATCCTTGATATCCATCCTCAAAAATGGATGCCATATTAACCTTTAATAGAAGTTGAGCTCCCACCTACCAAATTGGCTCATTTCCCTTTGCCTCCACAAAAAGGATATATAGCTCACCAATTAGCATATACCTGTGACACTTATCCATGCTACCATCTATCCCTTCTCATCCTTCTACCCTAAAATGCCTCAATCTCGTTCGTTTTTCTCCTTCCTCCAACTATTGCTTCTTCTTCTAACCCAGCTGCTCCTTTAGCTCCAGCTCCTGCTAGTCTCACCATGGTTTTTTTTCTTGTTCTCTATCCCCCTGATGTTCCCTCTTCTTATACAGATAACCCTAACCTTGTCATCTGCTGGCTGTGTTCAATCTGTTTCTCTCACTCTCTGCTCTAGACTCTTCCAAATGCTTCTGGCTGTTCTCTCTCATATCTACAGTAAACAACCTTCTGCCTAACCATATCTCAGGGTAGTCCTGTGTCATTTAATATGGGGGTGTCTCATTCAAACCACACATATGTATTGTGCAATGAGGTAGAGAAGTACATACAGTTTTCTTTAACTTTTATTTTAAGGTGGATCGAGAAAATAGAGATGAAGTCCGATTTTTTCCCCATAGAGAACTTTAGTTAATGATATTTTGTATTTTAGCAATAAATATATTTAGATAAAATAAAAATGGAGCTGGTAAATATAGAGGGTGGGGAACATTATAAAAGATTAGACTCTTGGCTGGTGAAATAGCTTAGTGTGTAGAGAGCCTGAGGACCTGAGTTTGATCCTGTCAACTCACATAAAGTTGGAAGGAAATAACTGACTCTACCTCCATGTGTGTGCTGTAGCCCACACATGCTCAAATACAGACCATCTGTACACAGTGATGTATTTACATTTTAGAAATCGAGACTAAATCTGAGAAAGAGTTGGATCCTACACACAAGCAGAGTAGTGTACTTTCTTTCCCTTAGAGGCAGTAGATTTGGTGTTCAGATTCATTCCAGAATCTTTTCTTCTGTTTTTTCCTATTTTCTCAATGAAATAAGAACCCAATCTTCTGAGAGTGAAGAGGGATATAGATATACTTAAGGTGAAGAAAAATGAAGAAAACAATCTTAGAGAGAGGAATGTGTAAAATGCCTACGTAATATATGCTTTCTGAGCAGCACCAATGGCCACCACATCTACGAAAAGGTCACCGCTTTAAAGTGAGATCAGTCTGCATGGTTGTTTTCTTGTCTAGTCACATAATGCTCCTATAAATAGAATCAGGGTAGCTAAATGTTGGACTTTAATCAAAGCCTAGGTGCTACCAGGTAGTCATGTTGCTATAGTTGTTACATTCAGAGCCTGTGCCCTGGTAGCCCCAACAAGCTACGCTCAACCACCAGTCTTCAATGGGCCAATTTAAACAGACAACAATGAAAAGCAAAACAACAGTATCTATTCATTGTGACCGCATTGGGAAGAGGAACAAAAAAAGGGAGCCAGGGATCTCCCCCACTCACCCATCAGTCCATCTTTAAGCATCTGACATGACACTTAGACTTAAATAGAGTATAAGAAGTATATAGTTTAGCAGACCTGGCCAAGGTGTGGTCCCACCTATTACTGACCCTCTATGTCTTAGCTATAGTGTCTCCTGCAAGGTGATATCACTTGTCAGTTACAGTCCTCGGAGGCAAGTTCCTCTTCTGGCTGAGATCAAGTTTTAGCCTTGTGCTACCAGCTAGAGATTCCTGGTGGAAATTTTAATTCCTAGAGGTTCATGTCCTGATAATCTGATAGCCTAAGAAAACTCATAGTGTCTCTCTTTAGTCATCCCTCCCACCATGGTTACCATAGGGACAGAATGATGTAAGTGTCTGGATAACAGATTCGAGGAAGTAATTTGAATGGTACATAAATACCAGATGACAAAGGGCAAGAAAACAGAAGAGAGGTGGCATAAATTTAAATTGTTTTCTTCAATCTTCATTCAATATGTTGGAAATCAACATAAAAAAACAAGCTCAGTGAAATGAGTAGTCTAGAAAAATAAAAAGCAGAAATCATACTTTAAATATAAATCATACATTAAAGGTAAAAAATTTCAAAATATAATTGCTAATAACAAGTGAGAAAGGATAATGAAAAGCATGAATGTTTTAGGGATGTCAGGCAGGCTCACTTGGACCAAGAGTGGTAGCAGACATTTGGGTGGAGAGATAACTGTGGCCCTCTAGTAAGTCTTCAGTGAACACATATTTGGAACAGGAAGGATTATAGATATCTATAAGATATAGACATAGAATCTTATGGCTTGTGTGGTACAGAAAGCTCAGACCTTTTAAAAGAAAATAGAGAATGGTTTGGAAAAATGGCTTTAACATCACACATCAAGTGTATATCCTGGCCCTGTAGACTGCAGGATGCAGGAGAAAATTAACTCTCATTTGATAGCATGGCAGAAAAATTCATCTTTGGGGTGGGGGCGAATCAGAATTTTTTTTAAGTTATCATCATGATCATCATCATCATCATGTGATATTTGTGGGTGTGTGTGTCTCAGAGCACATGTGGAGGCTAGAGAACAATTCCTTGCAGCTGATTCTCTTCTCCCAGCTTTTTGTAGGTTCTGGGTTTCAAACTTAGTTTCCAGGTTCATGGGGCAGTCTCCTTTATCGCCTTGAGCCATTTCATCAATGCAAAAATCAAAATTTTAATTAGATACAAGTGTGAAGCTATTGTTCACAACCATCCCCTAGGATAGCAGTCTTACAGTCCACTTATTTCCCCAAACTCAAGACATCCTCTGAGCCCACAGCAGAGACATTCTCCATGGCTCATATTTCTATGAGAAATACTCAGGATCAGGACCATGAGGGGGCAGCAGTTGATGAAGAGTTTGCTGCTTAAGCAGAAGGAGCTGAATTGAATCTCCAGCAGTCAGGAAAAAAGCCAGGCATGGTGGCATATGTTTGTGATACTAGGCTCCCCGGGACTTGCTGACCAGCTACTCTAGCCCAGTCAATGGTGAGCTCCTAGTGATAGCATCTGTCTCAGTGACTGAGGAAGAGACTCTTTTAGTTGATCTACTCACATGTGCATGTGCTCAAACCACAAAACAGACACAGAAAAGAAGTCACCCATTCTATAGCTGAAGGGATGAAGAAATATATATGTTTGTGTGTGTGTATGTGTGTGTGTGTGTATGTATATGTATATATACACACAGATACACACAGAGACACATGTATATACACACACATTCATACACACACATATACACACAAAATGTGATTGACTAGTCCCCACAGGTATTAAATCTATTTAAAATCAATAATAGTTAAGAAACACTTCTTTTGGTATAAACAAACATACCTGGTCCACAGGATGGAACAGGTCAATTAGTGAGTAGATTTCATAACAGAAACATAATAACATGAGCAGTGAGAATTATTTAATGGGCAACATTTAGATGGTTGGCTTAGCCAAAATTAAAACCTTAGAAAGGTAAACTTTACTACATCTACCAGATATAAAACTGTAGCTCACGCCTCGGTAATCTCAGCATTCAGAGAGCATCAGAGCTAGTCTGTGCTACATTATAAGTTTTTGGTCAGCTTACACTTCATAGCAATATGCTGTCTAAAAAACAATTGTATACTTATATAAAACTAAAGAGGGTAAACTCAGAAACAGAATGGTTATGAATAAAATACTTGAAAATAAGACTGATTTTATCCTTATAAAGAACAGAACAGTAAGGTAAGAAAAAAAATCATTTCATTAAATACACCTTTTAGAGTTCAGAATGTCCAAAATTATGTAGTTAAATGAGCAACCTTAACAAATTATTATGTTTTGTTTGTTCGCTTGATCCTTTTTGGAGACAGGGATTTGCTTTGTAGTTTGGAATTGCCTAGAATTCACGTCGAAGAACAGCATGTCCTCAAACTCACAGAGATCTGTCTGTATCTAGCTACTGAGTGCTGAGCTTATAGGCAGGTACTGCCAGATCCAGCTGACAAAACATTTCTGAAGTGAAAGATGTCCTTTATAGCCTTGTTACTTTAATTATTCTTAACTCTAAGAGCCCAACTTACAAGTCATCAGGCTGAAACAAATGTGAATAAATAATTACCCAGTCTGAATTTCATGCACCAAAACATAATAAGGCAGCTTTAAAGCCTAGCCTGGATCAGAGAAATGATGGGATAAGATAGCTGTGCTTTCTCATTTGTGAATTTTCTAATATGGTAGCTTGACTGTGCCATGCTGGAGTCTGTAGAGGATTTTACATTTTTTATATATAAATAGATTCACCATGCCATGCATTTGCAAATAATAACACTTAAACATTATGTAAGCCAGAAGATTTCTACAATTTTTATTCCAAATAATTCATTCAGAACAATAAAGTCTCCTGTGAGAAGATGTTTGTCAGTCATTTATAATAATAAAAATGTTAGTCTCAGAGTGGTTAAGTGTAAAGTGAAATAATATATACCTGGTAATAATAAACTAGGGAGAATACACAGCAACATAAGTAATGCTATGATATGAAGTGGCAAAAATGCTGCCATTTTATCTGACTGCAAAGGTATAAATGCAAATATGACAAGAGGTATAGCTGTAACCACTCAGACTGAGGTGACAAAATTCAGAATTTTCTTCTGTATCCAAATTTTCTCATTGTTTGAAACATTGTTTGAAGTAGTTGAAAACTTTGCATTCCTTCTCTAATTTTCATATTTTCCCTCAGTATCTTTTGTTTATTTATTTATTCAGTCACTTGGTCATTCATTTTGAGGCATGGTTTAACTATATATTCCAGGCTTAGTTGGAACTCAGCTTATAATCCAAGCTGTTCTCAAAATTGAGATCCTTCTGCCTCAGCTTTCCAAATGGTGAGATTAAAGATGTACCCCATCATATCAAACACCAGTTTTTTTAATAATATAGACACTTGTTCCTGACATTAAAGATGAATAGCATACTTATATTACTTACATCTGGGAATTGGAATACCAGAAATGCAAGAGTTTCAAAGGATCCAGCTCTAGATAGACATCTGTACATCTTCCAGAAATCATATGGCCAATTGAAAAAGACCAAAGCCCTTAATTAACTAGGATTAATCAGTAATTCCAATACAAATGCCTTGAATATCTACTTCCTTATGGGACCTTACTATCATGAAGAGAGATAACACAGTCCATTATACAACACAATTTCAGACATGTCCTCCAGTGACTGTATTGCAAAAGATGCTCTTCTTTCATGATGAGTAGGCCTCAAAGCACCACTCTCCAGCATTGATGGCATTTCATCAGAGTTCAAAGAACCCAAGAATGACAAAACATTGTTTCATAGCTGAGATTGTGATGTTCAACACACAGCAACATTAACCACAAAGACCCTCATTGAACTGTCCTCCAGCGATATTAATAGCATGGCAAAGCAAAGCATAAATGCATCACATCACACACACACACACATACACACACACACACACACACACACACACACACAGTATGTTCATGACAGAGAAGGAAGTGGAGAAGGTCTGTGGGATAATTTATTTTGTGTTCCTCATGCCAAAGGCAAGAGAAACTTCAGCCTAATGACAAGAGAGACCCACCTGTTGACCAGCATGAAGGAACAGCCCGTTGGGACTTGCTAACTTACGTGAGGGCTGTAGGTCCTCTTTTCTTGGTATACATGAAACATTTTACAATTCTTTGTATCAGCCCTCTTATATTTCACAGAGCCAGAAATTGGGCACAAAATCCAGAGAGAACATAGATGCCCTTTGCAGAAAATTACTCTCTTTGCTAATAAGCCCAGCATGATGATACTGAGCCCTGTTCCTCACCAAGCCCAGCATGGGGATAGTGAACCCTGTTCCTCAGCCTCTTTTTTCCATTTTCCCCTTCCCCCATCATTTCTGCTGAAATCTACACACTCTCCTGCTCCTGTGCTGTTTTTAGTCACACTTGAATTACCCCCTTGCTTCTTCACTCTCTGCCTCTTCAGCATCATACTTTTAAGGGACTTTCTCTAAGCCGCATCTCCAAACACTCCCACTCAGGGCACTACTTTATAGAGAAATCATTTATTCAGCCAAACCTGTCCACATTCTAAGCAAATATTACTAGTTTTGCAAGCAGAGAGTGTCTCTGCCCTCAAAGCATCTAACACATTGGTTTAACAGTCACTAAAGTATTTAGTAAATACCTGATTTTTTTTTCTTTTTCAGTGGCACCGCCCCCCTATACTTATGACCATGAGATGGAATACTGCACAGATCTGCCGCCACCATACTCTCCAGCCCCACAGGCTTCAGCACAGCGCTCGCCACCCCCTCCGTATCCTGGAAATCCAAGGAAATATTCCTCCTCTCAGAACAGACTATGTGATAATTAGCAATTTCACCCGGAACGAAATGCCTCAATTTAGAAACATGCAAAAGAAAAATGTTCGTCAACTGGCTAGGGTCAGATAATATCTCAGGCAGAATGTCCATGTGGAGCTGGCTCTCACCCTGCTCAGACCTAGGTGGAGAATTATGCTTGGATCTCTGAAGTCACAGATTAAGCGATCTACAGATCCATCCAGGCACAGTCAGATTAAAGCAGTGCATTTGGCAGGCCATCTGATAATCACGCTGCTTTGGGATGAGCTGAAGGCAACTTCAGTATTGAACCTGGAATAAAGGACAGAGGATAGTCTGATCTACATCAGAAAAGAGTTGCTTTCCATACAGCTTTAGGAGAACTAGAACAGTTCATTATTTCATTTATCCACAAATATGTATTAAGTGCCTTAGAGCTCACTCTGTGCCTGGCAACATTAGGGGCCCTGGATGGAAGTAACCAGTGAGAACTTTGGTTCCAGCACAGGTGTACCTCATCTTGTTGCACTTTGACGTTTTGCACTTTGTAGGTGTTGCATTTTTTTTTACAAACTGAAGGTTTGTGGTAACCTTGCACCAAACAGTGTCAGTTTCCCAACACTAGGAGCATTCTCCCTATCCTGTGTCACATGTTGGTCATTCTCCACAAGATTCCAAATGTTTTCATCATCGCTATTATTATGTCTGTTATGGTGATCTGTGTTCAATAACGGTTGGTGGAGTAATAGTAGCCTTTTGTTTGGGGATGTAATGAATTCTGCCCCTATAAAACACTGAGATTAGTAGATTGATAAATATTGTGTATATGATATCTGCTCCACTGAAAAGCTCCACCCCTTCCCTCCTCTCTCTCCCCCTATTCCGAGAACAGTATTGAGATTAGGCCAGTTAATAAACCAACAATGACTTCTAAATGTTCAAGCTTAAAGAATCATATAGTTCTTGCTTTAGCCTAATGCTGGAAATAATTCATCTTGGTGACTAGAGCCTGTTCAAATCTGGGATAGGCTGAAAGGCCAACATCGTACACCAGCTCTTAAATTAAGCCAAAAACACAGATTAGGCTTTATCAAAAGAAACTAAATCTGTCTCTTTCCAAACACACAAATGATAGAAAAGAAAGAGAACAGCAACCCCACTGTTTACAAGAAGAACTCTTCAGTGGGGTGTGCAGCAGAGCAAAACAGCCATATTCCCTCAAGTCACAAAGCTTGATCCAGAAGGAAGACCTAACACTTGCCTCATTCTACAAAGGCTGGCAGAGACGAAAGAGAAAAGTTAGCATAGTTTGCATGCTTTAAGAAAAAGATTGAGAGGAACACAGATCAGGTCCTGAAGTTAAGGAAAGGAGCTGCCCCTGTAGTATCAAATGGGAAAATAAAGCCTCAGGCAATGCAATGGAGGTTGCTGCCCCCTGTTCTCCCAAAGACCTAGTTAGGATTGTACATAAGATGGCTGCTTAAGGTAAAAGAACGACTCTACTGTGGAAAGACTTGCCTTCTAGAACTTCCTCAGTCAGAACAAACAAGCCATCCTTACTTCCAACCTCAAAAGACAGCCTGGCTTTCTTGTTAGTGTCTATAACACAACTGGTGACTTTCACATGAAGCCAATGTTCAACATTCATTTTCTAGCAAAAAATCCTAGCCCTTGTAAGAATACGCAAAGTTTGCTCTGCCTATAGTCTATAAATAGAACATCCAGGCCTATTTTTGATGTCGCTTAATGAATGTTTTAAACCAAGTGTTGAGATTGCTCAGGGAAAAACAAGATTTCTTTCAAAACCTTACTGCTCATTGACAATGCACTGATCATCCAAGTGCTCTGATGGAGATGTACAAAGAAACAAACCATGTTTTCATATGTGCTAATGATTCCAATCCTACTCTGTGTCCCTTAGACTATGGTTAACCTCAACTTCTAACCCTTATTATTTAATAACTAACTGCCTTTTATAAGGTCATAACTGATATAGAAATGGGAACTTCTGGAGTCTTGGCAAAGTCCTGGAAAGAACCCACTATTGTAGATCCATGACTCACTAGAAGAGGTCAGGAAGTCAGTATTAATGCACATTTGGAGGAAGTAGATTCTGGCCCTCATATATAATGTTGCCTCTGTTAGAGCTTTGGTGGAGGAAGGACCTACAGATATGGTAAAACCACAAAGGTGTTGAAGGTCTGACTCATTTACTATGTCTCATGATGTCACTACCAGAGGAACAATTGCTTCTTATGGTGAGCAAAGAAAAGATGTTTTGGTTCTTTTGGTGAAACACACTCCTGATGAAAGGTGCTGTGGGCAGGGCTGGGGTGTAGCAGAGGGTTTAGAGTATTTGTAAGTGTCTTGATAAGTCAGCAGCGAGGTTGGAGAAAAATGACAGTTTTGAAGGAAGAAACACCGTGCATCGAAAGCCACCAAACAGCATCACATGCCACAGGGAACCCTTTCATGAAGTTAAGTTCCAAACCATGTAGCGGACTTCACTGTCCTTTTATTGGGAGAAACTAATTAATCTTCCAGCTTGAGCAACGACCAGCCTAATCCCCAACAACTCTCACCTCACCACCACCAAAAAGATTTGGACCTGCTGAAAGCTTCAGTACTAGTTGCCATCTTTTAGCAATGAAATATTTTCATAAGGGTGTAGACATTGCTTTACTTATCAAACTGTGGCACAGTATAAACATAACTTTAATATTCACCAAAAAAACAAAAAGTATCTGTGTGATTCTCTTGTGAAATTTGCTTTACAATAAAGACAAGCAGCTGCATGAGTAACATTGAAGTGTTGCTGGTATGGATACATCAAAGGCATGCCCTCTGTAATGTATGTCTGTAAAACAAAACAAAAAAGCAAATCAAACAAACAAACAACAAAACCCAGTTTCAGCCTTACTGTTGACTAGCTAGCTTTTTGAAGACTTTCCATCAAGATTCCAAACAAAAAAAGTGGCTGTGTAGTAAAGAAATATTCTAGAAAGGATGTCTAAAATGAATAACGGATCAGTCCTTTTAGCCTCAAACTTTCTGCTTATGTTTAAGGTAGGTATGACCAGCTGTATCTGTAATGAAAGCACGGAAAGCAATGAAAACAATCTTATTCATTGACTCTGACTATTTAGACAGGATCCAAGGTGCCCAACAGATTCTGGGAGCTAAGATCTACACGGCCATTACTAACCCCTTCTAAAAACCCACATGGCTTTAGTCACAGGTATATGAAGGGTGCTCCAACCGTGGAATAAAAGGTGAGAAATCAAATATTCCCAGGGTTTTATATCAATAATTAAACATGTCATTTAACCATACATAAAAGACTTTTTTGAAGGGCAAATGAATGCTCAAATATAATAGCCATTTCTTCCATTTTATAAACTTTAATCTTTTAGAAAAGTTATCTAATTAGTGGGAAGGCATGGGTTGTACTAGTTTTGTGAAATGCTTACCTTTAAATGCAAATGCAGTCAATAAAAAAGTTCCAGTGTGTCATGTTCTACTCCAAGTGACCAAGTGATCCATATTTTTACATGGGTCTTTTTGAGTACTTTCGAACTGTTTGCCCAACATAATTTATGTTGCTTTAAAAGAAAACCTAAAAAACTCAATCCAGTGTATGATTGTAATTCAGTGACATTCCAAAATGACACTTAAGACACTTGATAAATAGCCAAAAGAAATATCTTACAATATAAGTTATGAACTATGAGCTTGTAGTTGAAAGTAAATATGAACAAGTAATGCCTTTTACTGTATCAAATATCTACAGCAGAAATGTGTTGGTCTGACTGAACGTGGCCTACAGAAGGTATTGAGGCTAGATTTGCTTTGAGTGACTTGCTTGGCTTAGGCAAGAATAATCTTAGCTTCGAAGATGAAGCCTTTGGGGGTCCTATCTGTTCCAGTAAGAGGCTTCCTGCCTGGCATGAAGTATTGGCATAGTGTTAACAGTACATGGGCTTTGATTTATTTTTCTTCCACAAATGTGATTAGTTTCCACTACTCTACAGCCATAGTTCACAATGTCAAAGTCACAGTGATCTGAGAAAGTTGTTTGTAAACCCACTACACATTTCTGAAGAAAAATAGAGGCAAGTCCACCAAAATCGAATACTCATCTTGACACTAGTGCACATATACCACGTGCCTCTGACATTCTATAAATACTGCCTGCAGAGAAATCATTTCTGTCTACACTCTTTCTCTTTGAGTTGTTTATGGCTCTCCCTAAGGCATAGCACAAACTATATATTTACAATAGATGAAGGATTTTACTGTTTTTATTAGTATCATAATAACATAGATGTGTAAAGTTCACTGATTATTTCCAAAAGTAATGTATATCAGAGGAAAACAATATTTGATGTAAAATTTGATTATGGTTATTTAAGAACTAATCTTTGCTATAGCTAATTTGTTTACAAGGAGCAATAAAATGAAAGAACTTATTATAACAAGAATGGTAGTTTTTGGGTTTTGTTTGGCTTTGGATTTTGTTTTTGTTTTGAGACAGGGTATTTTTGTGTAGCCTTGGCTGTATGGGATCTCTCTTTGTAGACCTGACAGGCCTCAAACTCACAGAAATCCTCCTGCCTCTGCCTCCTGAGTGCTGCGATTAAAGGTGTGCCTCACTACTGGCCTAACAAGAACTGTGTTCTGTCTTGTGTCATTATTCTTCCCCTCTTTTCCTCCTGAATGAGCTTTTTTTCTCTGCACAAGGAAATAGATCTGTAACCACACTGAAGGTTTTTTGTTGTTGTTGTTGTTGTTTTAGATTTTAATCAAAGACTTTATAAGTTTGGTAATGTTCAATAACAAGATGTCCATTCAATCAGAAGTGTAACCCAATATCCAACCTAGATGAAAGAAGTGTAACCCAATCAGAAGTGTAACCCAATACCCAACCAGGCGGAGACACGCAAACATCCACCTCCATGTTCCCCTCCCCGCACCCCCCCATCTCCTTACTCCTCCTCTTCCTTTCATTACTCCTCCCACCTTAGCTCCTCCTACATATCACCCTTCCTGTTAAGATAAAACTTTTC